ATGGGGTACCACTGGGGTACCGCGGTACAGAGTGGGGTAATGTAAATGGGTTCGGTCGGTACGGGCTCGGCTCGGCCCCATGCGCGTCCTCGCGATGGCGCTCCCAGCCGAGTCGAGCCCGGGGGTCGTAAAGCTATACGATCCCCTTCCTCCTCCTCGTCTCGTCTTATGTCTGCCGGAGCGACGGCACGAGACGGGCTGAGTGAGGCCGAGGGGCTTGGTCTTCCTCTCCCCGCAGCGAGCGTTTGGTCCACCCCATCCTCATGTCGAAGTTCGAGATCGATCGCGGGATGGCGGTGCCCTGCCCTGCCCTGCCCTGTCCTGTCCTGTACGGGCGTGGCGCGCGGGGCGTGCTCGTGCTTCGGCTTTCGTCTGGTCTGGCGGCCTGTGTCGCGGGACGGGACGGGAGGTACGGGTCTGCCAGGGGTACGCTACGACTTGGCTACGCCGGGCCCGGAGAATCGATTCCCGACCTACTTCTTGGGGCAGAGCGCAGAGCTGCAGCGGCGACAATGTGGTTTGGAGCGCTGCTCGCGGAGTGCAGAGGGCTGGTCCGCCGCGGGAGGCTGCTGTGCGAAGGCAATCCCACGTAACAAGATTCTAGAAAATGCGCTTGCCTTTGGTGGTGGTGCGCAAAATGCGCTCGAAATAAAGCCGTCCCCCGCATGGAAGCAAGGGGCCAGAGGCTAGAGGGAGATGCCCCGCACTGGGAGAGAAGTCTGAGCCCCGTGGGTCCCCAAAGAAAAAAGAAGGCGGCCCAGGGGGAGGGGGGGGGAATCGAACCAAGGTCCGTGTCGACACATGTGAGCCGGCGCGTTGCGATGGTTCTGTATGTCACCTCGGCCAGCCCTCGAGAGCTCCGCGGGCTGAAGGCCGCCGGGGCGTGCGTGGACATGGTAGACAATAAGAGAGGCATGCTGGTGGTAGTCGCGAGGACACTGGACAGCTCGAGCATCGGTCCGCGTCGCGGGAGGCGGGCCGGGTGCGGGCCGGGGGCATAACGCCCGACTGAATCAACAGACAGCATGATGCCGTTGGCTTGGCGTCGACCTACTCGTTCGGAGAGACGCTGCGCCATTTAGGTTGACTCTTCCCGCCCGCCTGATCCGATTGGGAAAAGGGGAAGAGTGGGGCGAGAGGGGGGGGGGGGGGGGGGGGGGGGGGCAGGGGCTTATCGCTAGTGAGGGCCGCGCCGGCACCGGCCTCGGCAAATAAAAGGCGACGCCTGCAGCTCTGCCGGCTTTGCCCTTCCTCCCGCTCCCTCTGCGGCCGGGCCGTGGGTTATGTTGACTGACTCAGTGCGGCTGGCGACGCGACGAGGCGCGAACCAAACCCCGCGCGGCTAGTGTTGCGTCCTGTCTTATCCTTTGCGCCGTCTCGTGCGGTACCCCGTCCATTCGTTCTCTTCGCTGGCCCTTCCTTTCTTCCTTCTCTTCCCTGTGGCTCTGCTGCGAGTCTGCCCGCCATGGCGCCCGTGTGGATTAAAAAGCAGTTGGATTTGCATGCCGACGCCGGGGACCCGGGCCGCGACGAGGACCTGTCGGCCGCGTCCCGCGTGCTGTCGCGCCGCGCGCACTTTGTGGCGCAGCTCCATAATTATGCAAAAGTGAGGTTACGTTCCGCGCTGCACCTGTAGTGGCGGGACAGGTAGGAGGGGTAGGGGAGGGGGGCGGGGTCCATCTTGGGGGTAGTAGCGGGGGGAAGTACTGCTAGAGGAGCCAAAGGCTGATAAGGAAAGGAGAGTGAGTTTAAGAGGGAAAGAGAAACAGACAGACGCACATTAGATACATTAACTAACATTTATGATGCACTCATTCATTCATAGAAAACACAAAGTACTTAATTCTTAATAAAGTACTAATTTCCGCTTTAGTTTTTTTTTTTTTCTTTTTTTCAAATCTAGTGGTTTGGTCTTTGCTTTACTTATTGACCCTTTTCTATTGCAGACTCCTCCTGTCATGCCATTTTATGGTAACAATGTGCCCAGTCAACCTGGGAATCTAATGGACCCTGTGTCGGGGTTTGGGCCCCCACCAATGAGGGATCGTTTCAGTGGGTGGCCACCGCAGCCTGGTGACTCTCTAAATGGTCTCTCATCGTGGTCACCAGCTGCACCTCAGAGCCATGGTTACATCCAGCAAGTGCCGCCTCACCACCCTCCACCACATCAGTTGGATGATTTAAGGCACTACCATCCTCAGTATGCCACAGCACCAACTTATCAAGGTGCAGGTGAGTATAAGAAATGCATTAGGAAATGAAAAACTCCCCACAGCATATTAATTTAAAAAATAAATCATTTGCAGGCTACCAACAACCATTTAGTGTAGATCCTGCCCAGAGTCCAGTTTTCCAGCAACAGCCTCAGGCTCCTCAAACTCCTCAGACTCAGTTGCCTTACAATACACCTACGAGCCAACCTCCTTCATCACCTGCTCAACCGCCTCGTACTCCTCTCAGCAATTATTCTCAGGTATTACTTTGGCTTATTTTCATTATTTTTTTTTCCAATTGATGCAAGGAGGAAAGCTTATTCTGTATCTTTTTCTATGTTAGGCCCATACACCACAACCATCTCCCACTCCTCATCAGGTAAATGGTATGAATGGTAACATCTCCCAAAGAAATGGTGTTAATGGTTCTTACCTAGATGGATCTCCAGTGCAATCAATGGAGTATGTAAATGGATCTTATACCCCATCTCAGGTAATTTGATATTTTGACTTAAAAATAAATCTTGCTGTTCTATTCACTTCTTTTCTTGAAACATGTTGTTGATCATTTTTGTATTTGCTTCCTTCCAGGAAAATTCTATGGCACCGCCCCAGTCAACAACACCTAATAGCCGTAGTAGCTCTGTCCACATGGACACTGGAAATGGTGACACCAATGGTAACATGGGTCAAGGTGTTAATGGGTCAAGTCCTCATCATGGTATGAATGGGACTATGAATGGCCGCAAGACTCCCTCTCATAACAGCAACGCACCCGGTTCGGGAAACGCGATGCCTGGATACCCGCTTCATCAAGCTCCCCCACAACTAATTCAGCAGAGTTTACACAACTCTAGTGGGTATGTATTTACAAATGCTTACATATCAAGAAATCTTGATATGTAAAGTTTCAATACTCATTTCATTACCTCAGAAGCAGGAGTGTTCCCATTGCTAAGTTTCCATTTTATTTTTGGACATAGGTATCCAGGCCAAGACATTTCTTCGGGAGCAGCAGGAGAAAGTAGAATATCTTCATCACCTCTTTGGAATAGCTCAAATTCTACAAATGGCATAAATAATCACCAGCCAAACAACAATGCTGGAACTGCCAATGCTAATGGAAATACAAATGCTAGTGCTAACCGGTCGGTGTGGAATGGAGGTGGACAAGATCGCCCCCCAAGTGCTCTTGGACAATCACCAAATTCAAGTCCCCAAAATCAGCATCAACATTATCAGCAAGATCAAAGTTCTCACAGCAACGGTAATAATACTAGTCCAGTTAACAGTCGGTTGAAAACCATGATCTTAAACAAGCAACAACAGCAGTATAATCAGCAAATGCAACAATTTAACCAGCAAATGTATGGTCAACAGCAGCAGCAGCAAGTACTGACGTCCCCTGTCGGTGATGGGCAGCAAATGATGAGTCCACGACGGCCATCCGACCAGTATGGTCAGCAAAGTTCTCATGATAGCAGACCTCCATCAAGGCAGTCTCCCAATCCCTCCCAAAATACTACCGGTCATTTTTTAGTCGAAGGCCACCATCTTCAGAGATCAATGATTCCTGAAGGTGGTGGCATATGGGAGTGGGGGGGAGATGTTCAAAATGAGACTCATGCAAATCCTGTGTCTGCAATGGAAAACTTTGTAAAATTTGCTGAGCTTGGTGATAATGGAGGAGAAGAATCTAGTAGTATAAAATTATTTCAAGGAGGCCAGTTGGGGTTTCACAACATGAAAGGTGCAATATCAAAAACTGAATTCAAACCTATTGAAGGTTGGAATGAAACAAAATTGCCATATGACAATGAAGTGAGAACATCAGAACAAATCAGCATGCAGAATGAGAGTAATTTTTTTCTTAAGAAATCATTGAATTTAGGGCATTGTAGTGGTGATGCAAATGAAAGGACTAATATGAATCTAGTTAAAATTAAAGAAGAGCCTTACCTTTTTCGGGGTGATGGCGGCCCCATTATACTTGAGAAAACCTCTGGTTCATGGTGTTGCCGCCAAGGCGGGACTGATGCGCCATCCCCAGAACATTTGAGGGATGGTTGCTGTCCAGGTCAAGGACTGCAAACGTTAGATGAGGTGGTGGAATCAGAAACAGAAAAGCCAAAAGAAAAACCTGTAAGTGTTCTAAAATCTATCTTAACTTAAATAATTGGTCTTTGCTATGGTTTTACTTGACTTTACTCTTCTTTTGTCTCTTGTTATAGGGTCGCTGGAGTCCAGAAGCTGCAGTGCCTGGCACATCCAAAGACTTTCAAGAACACTTAGATCGTCTAAGAAACAATGTGAGAACAGAAGTTCCTGACTGTGACTGTTTTGCAGCTGATAAATTGCCACCTGAACCTGGATCATATTACACTCACCTGGGAGCAGGCAAAAGCTTGCCAGATCTACGCTCACAGATTGAAGAGAGATCAGGCTTCAAAGACAAAGCTGTGCGCATTGAGAAGGTGCTATATACTGGCAAAGAGGGTAAAACTACTCAAGGGTGCCCTCTTGCCAAATGGATCATTCGTCGTTCAAATCTTGATGAAAAGATACTTGTGATAGTAAAACACCGGCAGGTAAATTAGTTTAGTAATTTTGTCAATTTTTAATATTAATGGCAGTTGTTTGTTATCAGGTTTTAACAGTTTTCTATGTACTTTTTTCAGGGACACAAGTGTTCCACTGCATGGATTGTTGTGGCCCTTGTAGCATGGGAGGGAATTCCTATTCATGAAGCTGATCATGTTTACACACTCCTATCCACCAAGCTCAATCGCTTTGGACTCCCTACCACACGAAGATGTGCTACTAATGAGCCACGCACTTGTGCTTGTCAGGGGTTGGACCCCAATACATGTGGAGCATCATTTTCCTTTGGATGCTCTTGGTCCATGTACTACAATGGATGCAAATATGCTCGAAGCAAGACTGTGCGAAAATTCAGGTTATCTGTGAGATCAGAGGTATGCATTTGTGCTATGGAAAATGAGGATTACAGTTTTGTTACTGCCATATATCTCATTTGTTTTCTCATTCTGCTTATTAGGAACAGGAAGTTGAAGAAAGAATGCATACACTAGCAACACTTGTGTCACCTCTTTATCAATCATTGGCCCCTGAAGCTTTTAGAAACCAAACTCATTTTGAAAGAGATGCTTCAGATTGTCGGCTTGGCTTCAAAACGGGGAGACCATTTTCTGGAGTTACTGCCTGTATAGATTTCTGTGCTCATGCTCATAGAGATCTACATAACATGAATAATGGATGCACTGTTGTAAGCAAATGCATATAATTTCATTTGGAATATCAGATGTGTCTAAAGATTGTGTATTTAATGTATCTTATTGTTCTCCTCCAGGTTGTTAGTCTTACTAAACATCGAAGTTTATCAAAACCTGATGATGAACAACTACATGTATTACCTCTCTACATCATGGATGATTCTGATGAACATGGGAGTAAAGAAGACCAAGCTGCTAAAGAGAGAACCGGTGCTATTGAAACTTTAACAAAGTTCCCATGTGAAGTTCGTGTTCGTTCTACACCATTACAACCATGCCGGAGGCATGGAAAAAAGAGGGGGAAGGAAGAAGAGCAGCCTTGTGAGTCTGTTACCATTAAGAAAGAACCAACTGGCCAAGGACATCAAACACATTGCTCACAGGGACAAATTCCTAGATCTGGTGCTCCCAGTGCACCTTCCCAACAGAGTGCTGGTTTTGCTCATTCTATTTCAACTTCAGCTGTCAACCAAGGAATGTCATTAGAAATGGTTATGGAAGCTCAACTCCAAAGCTCACAGGTAAAAGAATACCTATTTGATTAAAATAATAAAAAAAGGACTCTATTCAGCTGGATTAACATAGGTACCTTCAATTTTGTCATAGTTATGATTAATAATGTGATGTGATTTTAGGTCTCGTCAACAGTCCTGGATAGTCCTGTCTCAATGTATCAAGGCTGGGGCTATGAGGCGTGGGCCTCTGGTCGCACTGGGGCTCACCATGCTTGGATGGCCGCTGATAGTCAACGTTGGACGGACTACAGCGCCCTGAACCAACCGCGAGGCCCTAGCTTGGAGCGCGCGGACGCGGACAGCACCACCGCCGTCACGACCAGGTCAGCAGACGCATCCTGGGCAGCCTCACTGTCGCCGGCCCAGCCAGCACAGCGCAGAGAACCGCAACCTGAAGTCACAAAGACAACTGCCACCACGTGTCCCAAACGAATAGAGCCAGAAGAGGCAAACCCCTCGGCCAGTCCGGCTGAGTTACCACCCCTATCCCTGTGCCATCGGCTCTCCACATCCTCGGCGTCCAATCAGCTGGACGCCCAGTCTCCCTCGTTCGACCTTCCCTCGTCGGCCTTCTCTCCCTCGCCCGTCATCGACTCCGGGTCGACGGCCCAGCTGGGCGAGGACGAGAAGGGCGGACCAGGCCGGCAGCAGCAAAAGAAACCGTCCTGCTGGTCCGAAGGGAATGACGCTTCGAACCCCATTCCTGCCAACAACAGCTCCGGCATGTGGGATGCCGGCGGCCTTTCTTCCTCGCCGTTCCGAGTACCGAAGGCCCGCCACGCAACCCACGGCTCGTTTGAAGCTCCAACGCCGAAAACTGAAGCAATGGGGGTGGCTGGGGGTGGCTTGTGGGAGTCAGGATCGGCTTTCACGAGCACGGCGACGGGTCAGGGGCAAGACAAGCCTTGGGCTGAGGACTGCGCCCTGTCTGGCGGAGCGTCCAAATCGCTCTCGTTTGGTTCTCACGTATTAAAGCAAGAGAGCGTCTTCGATGATGTAAAACACCTCAGTGACTACCAAGCCTATGGTGCTGCTCAAAATCCTGGAGTGTCTGTTGTCAGTGCTGCTAATCCATTTGCTTGTCCAATGCCTGGCACTGGCACATCTTACGGTTATGGATATGCAGCTATGTTTTCTGATTCTAAAGGCTACAACACAGGCTGGAATGATCCCTATGTTGATCCACATTATGCGCAGTTTCAGAGTAAGGATATGATCTCAGGCTCTTTTCTCTGATAGTATGCTATCTAAATTAATTGCTTTAAACTGACCCATATTTCTTGGCTTATTCTAGGCCCTGCTATGAATCTCAATCCTCTCTATGGTGGTACAGGAAATCCATATCACACTGCCCATGCCGCAAGCTACATGCCACCTTACGGATATATGCCTGCAACACGCTGGGATCTGTATGGTCCCGCCCCTTATTTCTCAGTTGTTCCAGAAACTCCTAAAGCAGAACCAATTGGAGAAGTGACAGATTTTACTGATAATGAAGAGTGTTTTAAGGTATTTACATTTATATTAAGGATTTTCTATTCTTTCCTAATCTTGAAATTAACAAACTTTATTTTCTTGTCTTAGGATTCTCAAATGGGTGGTGTTGCAATTGCATTAGGTCATGGCTCTGTTCTCTTTGAGTGTGCCAAACATGAAATGCATGCCACGACCGCTCTGCGCCGGCCTAATCGACTTCAACCAACAAGAATAAGCTTGGTGTTCTATCAACACAGAAATCTGAACCGTCCCAAACATGGTTGGGATGAATGGGAAGAGAAAATGAGACTAAGAAAGCTGGGTGTAACAACTAGTCCAGCTAGTGCCACCACCACCAGCAGTGTTAGTCCTAGACCAGGAACACCTATTCCATCTGGTACATATGTTCCAGCAGAACCTTGCAAGTCCCTAAAGAGCAATTCTCAATTCATGATGCGAACTCCCACATATACCACCACCACTTGGACCACCCTATTTCCCATGCACCCTTGCATGGTGACTGGGCCATACCAAGAAGGCGGTGCTGTTGGGTAGCTTACAAAGCCTAATACCAAAGATAGGAGTAAATTTCATTTGTCAGATATGAGATGCTATTTGCTTCTAGCTTCATGGGTCTCTTATCTTGTAAGTAGTGGATTGCTGTTAGTTTGTTAATTGTTCCTGTAACTTCAGATTGAATTGTCCTTTCTCCAGCTTATTGCCAAAGATGTAAATCACCTTTCTCATGCAGTGACATGAGATTTGCTGTTTCTCAGTTAAGACGATTTGCTGTCTGTGTGGATATGCTGAATGTACTTGTTACTAGTTTTACAATCATAGCAAATGCAGTTGCCAAAAGTGTTGTATTTTTGTATTAATTATGTGTCAGTAACATCTTGATTATCTCATGGTTGACTTTCCATTTCTATGAAGTGTGAGTAGTGAGTCAAACTCTTCATGGGGGAATGACATACTTTCAGGCAGAAAGCAAATCTAAAATGACTGGTATACCTGTACTCTATTTTTCCTATTATTTATTTTATCACCTGCTCATGTTGGAGCCTGTTTTCTTTATTATGTGAGAAGTCATAGATATAAGTTTGAGTCCTCATATGGAAGAATGAGTCAATGTGTATATATATAAATATATATAGATTATAGAAATATATAAAAAATAATATCTATCCACTTGCAATACGTTGATTGCTGATATTTTGTTCTTGCATTATTGCAAGATGCTTGTTGTGTATGGGGTTAATGGTGAGAGTGACATTACTTTTATTTTTTGACCTCAAGGAGATGTTTCTATTTTAGAACAAAACTTCAGTCTAATTCTAATGGAAATGGATTCATATTTTTGACAAATTTTAGAATGAGAGGAAAATATTTTTAAGTTGTTGGTCATAGATAGTGAACAAAAAAAAAGCAGTACAAGCAAGTGTGATTGTGTTAAATTGTACATATGCATATGTGAGAATGAAAGAATGAAAGCAGTTATGGTTATACTCTTAGCATTTGCATTTATTCAGGTACTGTCTTCAGATGCTTTGCATAAATCATAATTATTGTGTGAGCTGGCTGTTTGTTTTTATACTGCCCGTGTTTTGAAATAATCTTCCATCTGAATTCCTTTGCTCAAATTTTTGTTGTTTGTGCCATTGAAGGATGTATCTGAGCATAGTATACTGATAGCAATACAGCATATTGCTCCTTTTTGGCTCTTGCTTCTGCGTGCCAAAAGCTTCAGCTTTAGCTAGTCCCTTCCTTTAGCCCTTGCGTAGGTTAAGGTGCAGTTTGTATGGATCGTTTCTTAATGAGTTCATTTTTGAAACTTTTTATCACTGCCAATGCACTTGTGCTGCACCAGTTTTCCTCCACTGCCAAATATTTCATCCCCTTCCTAACCTTTTGAATCTTCCTTAAATCTCTTCCCTTTAATAACAATAACTGCTGTAAAATGTATGTGTATGTATGGATGTAAGATTCCTTTGTTTATGAAAAAAACATCCAGGAATCTTACTTTCTTTCTTATCTGATTGTAGGTACAAACTTTGATCTCACAAGTATGTGCCATTTGGCTTGATAAGCATCTTTCAAGTGTATTGCCAATTCTTGTCATTTTGATTTTACAAGAACTCATAGGTGTAAAGATTTTAAATGGGGAGGCCACTCACCATGATCTTGCAGTTAGGTTTATGTCAGTTTGTCTCCTACAGCTGATTTAATTCTTACGCTGATGTTCTTTTAGACTGAACTTGACATAAGTGTCTGTAGGTTTACTTAGTGTATAGGAATCTTTATGGGTGTCAGTTCTCCCTTATGTTTACTTTCTTAGAACTTGTTTGTGTTGTACATACTGTAACGTTTGCTTTTATATTGGGCTAATTGGCACGCAGAACGGAAAAGCTATCATGGACCATATATCCCCATTCCAGATATGCTTGTTTTTTTGTTTTTTTTTAAATGTTGGGTTCTATTAAGTTTTTAAGAAAGATATGGGTGCTCAGATGCAGTGACAATTGTTTTCTTCTGCCACACCGTGATATTACCTTGATTATGGGATTTGTGTACATGTCAGCTTCATTTTTTTTTTCATTAGTAGTCCTAACGATCTGAGCTCACATACTGTTAAACAAAAATTATCAAATCTGGTGAAGTTTTGCTTTTCCCCCTTACCTTGGTAATTTTTTGGACTTTCTCAGGTCAGTATCTGTTGTGTTTGTAAATATACAATACATTGTATCTTATTTAACTAATTATTTATTTATTTCTATTGAATTCATTGTGAAATCTAGTGATTGTATCCATATTTGGTGTTATATAAGTAGTATTTATTTTCAGCCATTATGTTCATTATGATTTGAAGATGACATTTTGTTTGTTCCTGTTTTTTGTTTCTGTGGTATATATATAGATATATATCTTCTTTCTCAATCAAGGCATATCGCAGAGCATATTGCTCTATTTCAATGAAGTTTTATTGTGGAGTGATTAATTTGTGATTACCAACATTATTAGAGGGAATTTGAAACTATCTAAGTCAGAGTATGTTTTCTCTTTCTCAGGTGTTAATGACATTTTTGTGATGATGACCTAAACCAAATACTTACATAACCAGGTTTAATTTGCCCTAAGGAGGTCAGTTTCCTTTTTCTATTATCCTTGAAGCAAATATTCTCCAGTCATTTAATTCCAGGGCCCTGCTCAGCTCACGGCTTCTGGAGATGTACAACATTTTGTGCTGTATAATAATCTAATCAGTTGAGATTGTATACCTGTTCTTGTATCCATCATATGTATATGACTTGATTAGTGATTTTTAAGGGTCCTTTTGACATTTGGCACTTTTTACTGCTATTAAATTCACTGTTCCTTCCATAACATAGTGGTTTTTCTAAACAGTCTGCCATATCTTATCTCATTTATAACAGAAATCATCTCATAAGAGAAACTTAAGTGCCAATAATTGTATGTGTGTTGTTAGTTTGAGACCCCTCCACCTTGTAGACTGTCCCAATTGCCTTGTGTTTTTCACTTAGTAAGCCTTTAAGGATTGTTGCTCTCATCAGCTTCTCTAAATTTTGTTATTTCTTTCCTTCTCATAAATTAAAAGACCTTTCTTTTTATCTTTTACAAAAAAAAAGGAAACCATTTAAAATTGAATCAGCGAGGTGATAAGTTTTTATTTTGCTCTAGTTATAAGGAAAAAAATGATTAATGTACAGCATACTTTTTTGTACTGTTCTTGACTTATAACTAGTGCAGTTTAAAGCAGACTATTGTTACAGTTAATGTAATACATTGTAGAATCTCACCCTACTCTTACACAGTTAAGACAGTATCTAAGTGTAGATAAAGTCAAAATCTCAGAATAATATTATGAAGTAGTGCAACAAATTAGCATACCTGCCTTTGGCATGTGTGTTAATGGCATATATTTTTGACATGGAAGATTGAATTCTGTATAGTATTCAAAAAGACTAAGTGGGAAATTGTAAAATGTTCAAATTTGTTACTTTAGTCACCTCTTTTTGTACTGTACTTTAGATGCTGTTAGACTCCCCTGTACCACATAAATGTTTGATACTGTATAAAAGGGCTGTAGCTTATTGATTTTATGGCAAAAGATGTTACTATTTCTGAATTATATGAGATGTGAGAATAACTCTGTGACCAAATAGAATCAAAAGATAGAAAAGTTAATGTATTGACAAAAAAGTAAAAATATTATTGAAGCAGAGTAGTAAGATGCAGAAAAAATTATCTGAGCTTCATATTCCAATCACAAAATGTTTTTAAAGTTTACAATGAAGTTATTAGGAGAATCCTAGGAGTAGATATTAGGGCCTGTTGTGAAACTCATGTCTCCATGTACTAGGTGTACTTGTTTTAATGTGAATATAGCTACATTTGTGGAAAATCACATGCAATGTTGTATTTTTTCCCTCAGTAATATCATTATCCACCATTCTTTTCTAATCGGTTTTAAAAATGTGAACCATCTATTATTTAAAACTAGAACATACCAGTTAGTTATGTACACAAAAATTACATATGTACACGGGTTACAAATGCTCATCACACTTATCTTGCACATTACAATGGAAACAAAATCCAACTGAGTTTCCCGAAAGGTTTAAAACACGTCATAGTTGTCATCCACAATGTCTTTTTCGGGTGCTTCTGGCCAAGGGCAGCACGGGGCAGATGGTCGGTGAGACGGGGAGCTTGTTGGGGATTGGGGTGCGGTGGGGGCAGGTTGCACAGAATCCTTTTCTGGTGACGTCGGCCCGGGTTCTGCCGACAGAGGAGCATACTCCAGGCGACCTAAGGGACGCTCGGACAGTCGCTGTGACGAGTTGTAGTGCAGTACCACCGTCCACTGAAAGTTTGGGGAGACCGTTCTTGATTAGGTACACGACTTAAGCAAAATTTCTCCGCGAGCATCTCAATTGATTTTTCTATTTCGTTTTGCGCACCTCCCGAAAGACGACATGGTCGTCAGAGCAGTTGGGCTGGTTCGACTGGTCAGTTACGGGATGCTGCCATTGCTCTTGTTGTTGCTGTTGTTGAATAAATTCCTGCTCTTGGAGGTGTTGTTGCAACAAAATTTGTTGCTGTTGCTGTTCATGCAGATGTTGCTGTACCATCTGATTATGGTGTTCTTGCAACTGTTGCTGAATGTACTGTAGGCGTTCTTGCTCCTGTAGTTGTTGCAGTTGCAACTGCTGCTGCTGAAGAAACTGTTGCTCCAGCTGTGCTGCGTTCATCTAATCGGAAACATTAGTGGGGACTTATAATCACCCCATGTTTCAGGCGCAGCCCTAAAGGTGTCCCCATCCCCATAAGGAACGTTTAAGTGGGCGACGCTATTGATAGCGCCTGACACGCGCTGGGTAGGCCAACCCGCAACGCAGCTGTGTGAAGACGGCGGCCCGCCCAGAGCGCCCAAGAGCGGGGCCTTCAGATAAAAGAACGTTGACGCCAAACGTTCCCTCGATTAGACACGATAGGGAATTTAATTGTAGGTGCGGTGCACCTTAACGAGACGCCCCTCAAAGCAGGCAATTTACGATACGTCCAACATGCACTTCACAGAGAAGCACTCCATATTTCTATTTTGCTAGCCATACTTAACCGGGTCAACCCAGTTTCTGTTTAGAAGTTGAATAGGGTAACTTCATGGAATTTCGTATAACCTCACCCCTTCCTTCCCGTGTTGTTGTTGTTGTTTTTGTTTTTTTTTTTGTTACGAAATCTATTTAGCAGCCCTACATTTAAGGAGCGCCGCATGAAAGACTGGAGTGGGTGGCTTGCCAAGCTGGCTGAATTTTTCGGCTCACAATGAAAAATTGATACGCGCAACATCCTCGTAACTTGCACAATTACCTGCATTATTTGGTAGACTAGGTCTGTGGCGGGGAAAGAACTCGGGCCGGGGCTCGGGTCCACCTGCACGGGTTAGGACGATGAAAAGCCAGACAAAGAAGAGTCGGTGTAGGGTCAGTTAGGCGAGTCAAACTTTTTGTTATTCCCTCGCTACACCACCTCTTTCAAGCCCAACTGGCCAGTGCCAAGTAAATTAATTTGTGCCTCTGATTAAGGTGTAATGTACATTACACCTTTCCCCGGCGTCGGTGGATACGTCTATAGCCATCGCATAAGAGTTGGCGCAGGCATACACTTATTTATATTGACGGGCTCCCTGCTCCAAGGACAACTGTACCGGGTGTAATTGTGAATGCGCAGCAGTGTTGCGGGATTGCATACCCGCCAGGGTTGCAGGGGTATGGCGCCTTACGCGCGAATTGGGCAGGCAAACCCGCAACACTGCTGCGCATTCACAGTTACACCCGGTACCAAGCCCGGTACGCACCTCCATCGGCACGGTTGTGTCCGGGAGGCTGCTGAACGTGAAGGACACTCCACCGTCGGGCAGCGGTGTCCTGAACATGGGGAACACGACGAACACCTGCAGCAGGGTCAGTAAGGGGTCAGGTAGAGATGGCGGCGCGCTGCGCCAGCGGGGCTACGTGACATGCACCTGCTGCTGCACAGGCCGGGCTGGAGTGGCGGGGGACTCGGGGGGCGCGATGAGCACGGCGCTGAGCACGCCACGGGGGCTGGCGAGCGAGCACAGGGAGCATCCCCACCTACAGGACGCGCGGCCCGACACGACAAGGGTTTCAACCTCATACGAGCACTCGCTCCCTCCTCCGCCCTCGCGAATGTGTATACCTAGGGCTGACTTCGGAGGTCGACCTCTGCACGTGCTCTGCCGAGGGGTTGCGGCCGAAGTCCCTGGGCCTGACCCTGGGCCTGACCCTGAGGCCGCGGTGCGGTAGGACGAGGGGCCGGGGCCGCGGCCGGTCCCGCAGCCGGGGCGCGCTTGCCGGGCTCACCAGCGAGGCGCTCGTGCCACGTGGGGCCGCCGCCCGCACGACCCTGCGCTCGCCCCTGCGCTCGCCCCTGCGCTCGCGCGGGGACCCTGGCGGGCGCGGGCCCGCGGCGCGGCGAGAACCGCACGAACCGCACGAGGCGCGCGGAGCACCCTTGGCTCGCGGCTTGTCCTTGGAGAAGAATGCGCACACCTGCGGGTGGCGAGGTGAGCGGTGAGGCCAGGGCGCCCCCGATGACCACCCCGAGGTCAACCGCTCGCCAACTCACCTCCTCGAGCTGCTCGAGCACCCTGCTCGAGCACCCCGTCTCTGGCAATGACGGCCCCAATTCTCCTCCGGCGGGACACGGTGTCCGGCCTGGCTTTGGAGGCGGCGTGTAGGCCCCAACTTCTGGGCACGGCACTGGCGCCAATGTCTGCGTAGCAGGGACTGACGGGGGCGGCGCGCTGGGGGCGGCCCTGGGGGCGGTCTGCAGCCACGGCTGCTCGGCCAAGTGATCTGCGAGCCGCGCCAGCTGCCCCGACAGCTGCAGGTGCACCACACTCTGCTCGGATCCGGCTGGTCTCGGCCCGAGGCGCGAGACTGGCGTCGAGGCGTCGGCGGAGGCCAGGACTGGGGGCGGCGCTGGAGGCGGGGGAGGAGCTGCCGCCAGCGGCGGACGCACTGCACACTGGCCACCGCTGCGGGGCGGACTGCCCGGGAGCCCTGGCGGTTGTTCCTTGGCTGGACGCGCACCCAGCCTCGGAGACGGCGGTCTCCCAGATGCCGAGGCGCTCTGCGCCGAGACGCTCGCCCCTGCAGTCGCCCGTCCTGGAACTTACGTCTATAATATGATTTATTCCACAGCCATCTGCTCGCGCCGGAGGCACGGCCGGCGGCCCTCCATTTCGGAATGCAGACTTTTCTTGCCCTCACTTACTGCTGTCCGCCGCAGAAGGGGCCTCGGTTGCCTGCAGCGCGGTCCCCATCTGTCAGAGGCGTCCACATTAGCCTTGTCCGGAAAGCGGCTCTCTTAAGCGCGGCTCGCTCGCGGCCGGCCACGGCCGCCGCCCCACCTGCCGCATTCTTAGTCCCACCTGCACGCCCTTGAGCAGGGCGCCCCCACTGGACTGCGGCAGACTGCAGCTCACCCCCCTCGCCACGGTCAGCCGGGACCTGTGGTCGGCTGTCTGACCGCTCTTGACCCCGCTCGCCTCTCGCTCAACCGCCGGGCCCGCCCGACTCTCGGAAGTCCCTCGGCCGAATCTCCTGTCCAAACTGTAAGTACTAGGATGGGGGAGCTGCGTCGCCCCGCGCCCCGCGCCGCAGCGCTCTGAGCGCCCGCGACCGCCGGGGTAGGCAGTCCCGCCACACTCCGGCGCGCGCCGGCGGCCTACCCACCTCGCCCGCGAGGCCGCCGGGGAGGCGACGGCAGCGACGGCAGCGGCCAGCACGGGAGTCTGCGTGCCGGCCTCCTGGCGCAGGCCGCGCGGCCGCGACCCGCGGGGCCGCAGGGGTGCGCGGGTGGTGGGCGCGGGCAGGGGCGCGGACGCGGACAGCCTGGCGCCGCCGGTGTCGCCGCACGCGGGCGCCAGGGCGGCCGCCGACGTGGGGCTGCGACAGACCAGAGGTGTCGTGGCCACACTGCGGACGCCCCGAGCGTCCATCCATGCCCGCCGTTTTCTGTGCTCACTCTGACTTGGCGAGGCGGTGCTTGGAGGAGCGGGGCGCGGCGGCTGGTTCGCCCTCTGGAGCGGCCGCCGACGCGGGCAGGCGCTTGGGCCGGGACCCCCGGGACCCGGCCGGCGGGCGTGCAGGGTTGGCGCCGCCACCGCCTGCCCGGGACAGGGTCCCTCATCACGTATGTAAACTCTCAAGGGGCATAAATCCAGACGAGCCGAGTGGCGATAATTCTTTGACGATGTGGGTTGGGGGGTCTTCTCCTCGGCCCGCCGCCGGTATGGTGCGAGCGGTGACGTCCCCATTATGTCCCGCTTTTCCCAGCCATGCGTGTTTTTCTGCCGCCCCGGCCCTCCTTGTTTGGGGGACGCCGTCGCCGCGGAGGGGACACGTCCCGGGACGGTCCATTAGCAATGCTAAGAGGCGCGCGGGCCGGCGCGCGTCCGTTGGCCGCCGCCCTCGCCCCACGGGGCGAGAGAGGCACTTTGTTGCGTAGCAGTTATACCGCCGTTGATAGATTTATTTCTGTATCGAGCCGAATAAATTGGCCGCCGCCTTGCGGTACACCGCCGGCGCGCCGCGCCTCTCGTGTTCGGGCACACAAAGACTGCTGTGCACACGGCCGGGGCCGGGGGCCGGGGGCCGCCCGCTGTGTGTGGCGTGTATAGTGTAACCTGGCCCGCTGATATAGGGCACGCAAAAATTGCGCCGCGTTCCGTTCCAGCGTCGGTACGCTCGGCGCGGCGAGTGGCATTCTCTGGAGCACTGGAGAGCGGCGGCGGCGGGGGTTTCTTTGCTTCGCTGCAAGCTCCCCCCAGCCGCGCCCCGCGCCCTCCCACAATCCTCTTCCCCTCAGACCCGCACC